GCGACATCTAATTCACTGACAGAAACATACGTCGTCGAGTTCAACTTCATCGACTGCTCGCTGGTGAGAGTGAAAGTCAAGGTTTGCTGTTTTCGATCAGTCGAGCTTGTGGATTCTAAAAAATTGTCAAACCGGACCCAATTAATGGAAATTAAGTATGTACTCGCCAGGACACTCGACAATGCCAGAGACAGCTTGATCTACACGAAAGAATGGGGATGGCTTGAAGCGCATACCTGCTATATGTGTGGGTGATAATGAACTAGGTAGTGTGTGCACTTATCTTACCTGGTTTGGACACAGCCGACGGACCAGCGCCTGTGGTTGGTGGCGGGGGTAGCCGCGGAGGGGCGTAGGGATCATAGCGGCCAGCGGGGATCGCGTTGAAAGTGCTACGAGCTGTATTTGAAGCTGAACTATATGCTGCTGATGGAACCGAAGGCAATGACTGGGATGCCATCGCTCCTGGCATACGAGAGCTCGTGTACCTGGTGGTCAAGCGCGCGGTCAGTGTTGTGTACGGAGTAAAGGATGCTACCACACATGAATGCTGTAGCTAATCGAAGCATCCCATAAATGCGGCGCATGAGAAACTCCACGCACGCGAACCGAGTCAACTGCATGAGATGGCACTCACATTCCGGTATTGCGAACCTGGAATAATATAACTTTCGCTTTGGTCCATTTGTCGATGTTGTTGGCTTGACGCCAGGATTCCAACTGCTGTACGATCCTCTCTATCAGGTCCTGCTTCTTTCCAGACTTGTGAAATACAGTGTTGCATTCCTCATTGAAACCGGTAAGAATTTGTTTGAGTTTATCCACCGTATTGTGCTTGACCGTGTGTCGTAAATTCTAGAGTAATAATTTAGTAACATATGATATAAGATTTACAACCCAGACCTCAAAATCGCTCCAAGAGTCATTGGTGGCCATTGATGTCTCCGCTGGAAGCCACAGTGAGCAAAAGCTTTCAGGAGAACAGGGAAGAGTTGAGACTAGGCTGAGCGGGAAAGAATTGGTTTACATACTATAATACACAAAGGTAAACAAAGCCGATTCAGCTCACGTGCGCCATCTCTTTCATATCGTTTATATAAACTCGTAGAATTATCAAAGGATTGTTTCATACGTATGTCTTCAGAAAACGACTACGACAAGCTCACGAAGGAAGAGAGAGAGGCGCGCGATAAGGCTGATAGGGAACGCGAGGAGGCCGAACAGGCTGGTATGGTTCCACTTAATCAGAGGTTGATCAAATCATAGATCATAGCATGCAGCTCTCCCATACAAATGGAAGCAAGAATTAGGCGAAGTCGATATTACCGTTCCTGTTCCGAAAGGGACACGAGCCAGGGACTTGGCCGTCATCATTCAGAAGAAGAAACTTAGCGTTGGTCTCAAGGGTCAGGAAAAAATTATGGAAGGCGAACTCTGCAGAGAGATCAAACTCGAGGACAGCACGTGGACACTCGGTGAGGTGCCGCATCACGATACATATGCTGATTCTTAATCGTAGTTTAGAGGATCAGCAATCTCTTCTCATTCATCTAGAGAAGCTGAACAAACAGCAGTGGTGGGACAATATCCTCACACATCACCCTAAGATCGACACTCGCAAGATCCAGCCAGAGAACAGCAAGCTCAGCGACCTCGATGGAGAAACCAGGTAATGTTCACGTTTATCAGTCAAAGCTCGCCCTTACCCAGCTTCTTCAGGGGCATGGTCGAAAAGATGATGGTGCGTATTCAGCATGTGTCTATATTTCTTTCTACCAACTTGTTTTCGTGCTTTTAGTTTGACAACCAACAGAAGGTATGTACTTAATCATGCCTATGACAATATGCGTATTCAGTATATTTTCAGCAAATGGGCAAACCTACCTCAGACGAGCTGAAGAAGATGGAGGTTAGTAATTCCTGTGTTAAGTTTCTTGAGGCTAACCACTTTTAATGTCTTAGGCGTTGAAGAAGTTCCAAGCCGCACATCCTGAACTCGATTTCTCGAATGCCAAGATCTCATAAATTCAATCTATTGTAACGAGTGCCAGGTTTCATATTGCATCCGCCATGTACAACAAAGAAATTCTACATCTTGTGAATAACATGAGAGTTATCTTAGCATTTCTCTCCAGATGCAAACCCTACGTTTCCCAAGTGTGACCAGCAACTGTCCTCCAAAGCCGAGCACACTAGCTTGCACGCTTCCCTGCGCACCAGGAACTAGAACCTCCCATCTCTGTGGTTCGGGTGATTTCCCGAAGAATGTTGTAATTGGTTGATCTTCCTCTTCCTCTTCATCGTCCAGACGTACATTTTTGAATTCAGATTCAATGTCACGTTCCGGTGGGTCACGCTCAGGTGGGTCTGGCGCTATCACGCGGGGGTGGAAGTTTGCGACGTTGTACAAACGAACACTGTCGGGAAGAGACAATGCAAGTATGTAGTCATCTGTAAACGTCTGGGTGACATGAACGTGTCGAGTCTGTTGGGGCAATGAGGACGTCGAGATCAATGTAAATGATGCTGCAAAGACGGATTAAGCCACTAGTTTCAACAGAAATGTCGATGCATACAGCTTTCATGATAATCCTGCGCGATGATTAGCCACATAATCAAAGAAATAGAGGGCAATGGCAATGTACTGATGAGCAACCCCTCAACACCCTCCCAATCTCTTGTCCTGCAGGAAAAAATCTATCGAATCCAATCCACCGGAAAATTGTCATAGTTCCATCTTCGTAGTATATATCATCCTTGCGACCACGGCGTCTCATGAGAGCGGGTGCACTATGAGTTATTAAAGTGTCGGTGCTAAGCCTGTTTTGGCGTGGTCGGCGAATTGAAACCGATGTCCTTGAGTTACATAGAAATACGTACCAACTGACGGAGATGACACGCGCCTTGTGAATCCGACTGCTGCTGAAAAGAGGTTTATCTTCACGAGCAAGTCCATTGGAAGATGACGCTGAAAAATTCCAAATCTTCACAGCCCGATCTAGCTGAGCGATTGTCGAAAATGTTACGCAAAATATGCAACCTTGAATGAACCTACCCCACACGTGGCGATCAGAGGATGCGTTGGATGGAATGCCTCATAATAATACATCAGTCATGGTATCAGCCTAATCTACAGGACTCACAGCGCTTAGAACGGCAGCCTCATGACCACCTGACGGACCACCACAAAGAACACTAACGCATCGGCCTACGCCCATACCCTCGGGCTCGCTAGCTTGCAGTCCATGGGGGGCTCCGCCTAGGCTGGAGACTTTAGATGGTGGCCAGCAAGGATTGTCAGGGCCCTGTTGCGGGGACAATGTCAAATCATATATGCGTGTTGTAAAATCCCTCGAAGTAGTGCAGAATAAATAGGGATGCGTAGGGTGAATGACTATGGATGTGATCGGCTAATCACAAAAACCTTCCATCAGCGGAGTGAAAGAAGGGTGCAGGTACTCACCCCACCATGTCCACGCAAGTGGCCGATGATCTCGCCTTTCACTGGGTTCAGGATGTAAATGATACTACCCGCTGAGAAAACAATAAGAGGTTCTAGTGGAGCCTCAAAAGGTAGAGCCCAGCCCACGGCCATTACGGGTGTCTACACACGAGTTAGGTCGAGTAGGTGCATGAATGTCACCTCATACGTTCTGTTCTTGTTTTGGTACAGACACTGAGAGGCCTTTGCGTGGCCTCGACGCGCTCAGTGGGATAACTAGTAAAGAGTCCAGAGTTCCGATCGCGAGGGCCCCAGACCAATCGGAAATCATCTGTATCCATGGCCCGTCCTGCAGTTCTTTGTCCTTCTCGCCATACCACAGGGCACCCAAAGACTGTTCAGACCATGGAAAGAGCGCAGTGCAGTAACATTCCTCAACGAAATCAAGCTGACGTATGCTAGTTGGCTCAAGTCACGATCAGCAAGCTAGGGAAATTAGCACGGACATCGACAGTTTTAAAAAGCGTGAATGGCTTGGAGCGAGCGGGGTCTTGAAACCACGGAGTGTCGCTGTCATCAGCGACTACCTGGTCACTGCCATCGAGAGACTCTTCCATCGTCGAGCTACTAGTCACCTATTCAGAATCCACCGATGACAATAGAGGATGTCGGGATGGAAGATATCGACTGACAAAGGCCTTCAACTTGAACTTATAATAAGAAAGGGCTATTGACAAATAAGGTAATCGTTCAATAAACCATTTTCGCCGACCTCCGCCTCGTTCCATCACTCATACCAGCCGTGATGTCTGAACTACCCCCACAAACCTTGGAAGACGCTTTCGAGTCAAAACCTGCACTACGCAATGCAGCTACCATAGGTTTTCAAGCAGGTATTGTCGGCGCATTTGTGAGTGCAGTCCAAAATGCCCTGGGATCCCATTCGCGAGGCGCTGCTGGGTTCTTGACACGTAGCGGGGGCACTATTGGAACTTTCGGTAAGAGAAAGAAATCTACTTGCAATATGAGAGTGTCAAGGTTGAGTTCCATATTTACAGCTGCTATGGGTGCTACTTTTGCATTCACGGAGGCGGCTATAGCGAATCAACGAGAAACAAATGATGCACTAAATGGCATTGCGGGTGGTTGTGCAGCAGGATTTCTTGCAGGTCTTCGAAGTGTGTTATCATGTTGGATCTATTATTCGTTCACCTTACATATCAACCTCAGCACGTTCAATACCGGTTGCACTTGGATCGTGCGCTGTAATTGGTGCAGCTATGGGCACCTTCGACTACGCAGGGGAAATTGCTGGCAGGTCGAAAGAGAAAAAGGAGGAGAAGAGAAAGCAGTTCTTCAAATCAGTACCTCAGCCTGTCAATCATGCTTCCGAGTAGAGGCAGCATCACTCTATCTCATCACCTCACTTCGATCTAGAACTAAATGCTGGCATCGAGTCTCACACATTCAGAATTTCAAGTACATTCAAACAGATACTTGAAGATACAGCATGACAGACCGGTTCATAAAACCACAAAGTCACTCATGGATCGTTCACCTAGCTGGAGGAGCGTACAAGCTCCTCGATATGTGCATAAACTTCATTTTGGTGTGTCGTGTAATACTCTGGCCAAGACTCTGCGCTTTTGCAAGGTCGCTGAATGACATGACGGTCAACAAGGGAGTAAATGTCAAGGCGACAGCGACAGCTCACATGTTGTGATAACTTTTCCCATACCCTCTCGTCATTATCATCGTCCCCTCCACCGCTAGCAAAGAATTCACAGATTACTTCAAAATCCTCTCGTTCCAGAGTTTCTTGTGATACAGGAGGGGAAGCTAATCGAGGCTTCTTGGACGGGCCAGGTCTTTCCTCCCCAATTGATTTCTCGGTATTCCCATTCAAAGACTTGCGAAATGCGATATTTGCCCTCTTGCGAATTTCAGTAAGTTGTGTTTTCAGTTTCGAAGACACCTGCATCTGCCAGGACCCAACTGAGTGATGTGGCATCTGCAACGGATGTCAGAATCAGCTCTTTGGGAATAGATAGGATATGCACATCAAAGGCAGTCACGTACCTTTTTGTGTATAGCTTGAAGCAAGACCGTGGTGGACATCGTTGGGTCTTCATTGAGCAGGAATTGAGCATACTGGCAGAAGTACTCAATTTCTGGCTGGGTAAAGTGAAACTTCCCATCTCTCATGGATTTGCGCGTCTCTGGGGGAGGAGGGGTAGGAGACCGTCGTGCATGATGGGACTTTGCCTCCTTCGAGGACGGTGGCAGCGGTGCTGCTAATATTTGTGGGGAAGTGGGCGCTGACATCTGTTTCACTTTCTTTGTTGGCGTCTCTGTTGGTGTGGTCCTCTTCGGCTTTGGCTTTGGCTTCGGCTTTGATGCAGATTTCTGGCCTTCTTTCTTGGCAGAAGGAACTTCCACCTGCACAAATTCAAAAAATGCGCTGCTTGGTCTGCCGCGCTTCGCATTTTTGGTCGAGACCGTGTCGAGCATGTACTCGCTTTCATCCAACAACATGTTTTCAGCGATGCAATCGGCAACGAATGCCGACTGAATCGGAACCTTGTCGCAGGCATGGGCCTCACTCAAGAGGCCTTGGAATGTCTGCGAGCGCGTGAAGAGAATGACATAATCTGCATCTGCAATACTCCCGATGATCTTGCCTTTATTTTTCTGTATGTCGGTAGTTAAAACCAACATAAATGCGTGAAAAGCCTGAATATACAACCTTGATGTTCGAAACCACTCCTGATCGCCCCTGCAGATCAACCTGCACAAAGAATGTCAAAGGCTGCCCTTGATCGTCAAGGAACACCTCTCCAGAATTCTTTCCTGCATTCGTGCGGCCCGGCGAGCTCAAAAGAGACTGCTCAAATACATCGTCTGAACCGGTAGGAGGAGCACCTTCGTCATTATCGGATTCGTCGAATATTGAAACACGTTCCTTGCCCTTGAGAGATCGTTTGTTAGGCAGCTTTCCTGGGGCTTTTGGGGGTAACATGGCTTCTTGAATAGCTTTGCGCTTCACTGAAGGAGGGAGCACAACCGTAGAAGGCGCACGAGAAGATATATCGGTGCGAGGTTTGTGTCCGGAAGGGCGAGGTTGTTTTTCCGGGTACTTCAACACAACGACGTCGGGAGTTGGGCTGCGTGATTTATAAGAAGACGATGAAGGAGGGTAGGGTTGGTCTGGAGCAACGATTGAATCTGGTGTTTGTTCGTTATGGATGGCAAACGGAGCACTGGATGAAGCTTCTATTTGGGGATACATAGGTGAGGGCTGTCCCGCCTGCAAGAATTCACCACCGTTGGTGTTCCTCATAACATCCATCAGAGTCACAAGCATTTGAAAACTCTGCGGGTCCCTTAAGTTGTGAAACGGCATGCCCGTCGGCATCGTCATTGATTGGGGCTGTATGTATGGCATGTGACCAGAAATAAGCTGTTGCGGAGGAAATTGGCCAAGCTGGTATGATTGTTGTTGAGGACCAGAAAATTGTTGAGGGAACGGTGAAGCTTGCGAAAATTGTGGCTGAGAAAACTGAGATACTTGAGAAAACTGGGGATGCATGAAAGGTGCTGGCGTGACGGATTGTGTTGACTGGGTTTGTAGAGGGGTCTGAGAGAACTGGACATGCGAAAATGATGCTGGTGTGATAGGCTGTGCTGACTGAGGTTGCGGAGGAGCCTGCAAATTATAAGGTAATGCTGAAGTGAGCTGCTGAGGTGGTGCAATGGGTTGAGGAGTATTAAATGATTGAACAGGTGGGGAAATGCTTGGTGCATGACTATACATAGGTTGGCCTGCATGTTCCGAAGGCTGCCGTAGATTTTGTGAAACAACGAGTGGAGCTTCTTGCGGTGACTGAGATGGCCTTGGATCATTCGGGATTAGAGGGACATATGCAGCCGGAGTTGCAGGGACGTTATTAAGGATTCTCTTTGTAAGTAGTTCCTCAGGCGTAACGCGGGGCGTAGGCAGCGGGCTTCTTATCGAGAGCATCAGCAGAGAGTCCCCTTGAGGGACTTCAGGGCGTGAAACTGACTTTGAAACGAGCTGTTCGACCTCTGCTTCTCCGCCATCGGCAGCCACTTCGACGATGGGTTTGCCATCATCCAAAGTTTCTGTCCCACCCCAGCCATCGGCTTCAAGGAGAGGTTTCCTAGCTTCGATACTTTTACGTAGCCATTGAAATTCAAGAACGGCTTTCCCTGGGGTCTGATGCCAGGTACGAATGAGACGCTTTCCATCGAGTTGGGAGGAATCAACGAGAATGATGTCTGCGTCCTCTGGGCGACAGGCGTACGCTCCCCCTTTCTATAAAGACATGACATTATGGGGTCTATTACTTAGGTTAAGCCATAAAATTACATACCTTCATCATACGAACCAAGTTTGGCCGTAATGATATCCCATTGACTTGCAAATGGATGTTGAACCCTCTACCATCTGGATGGACAAGAATTTTCTCGTTCTCGGAAGTGCTCTGCGATGCATAGAGCGTGTCCATGGGTGGCTCGAATGACAGCTCCATGGCGGCCCAGCTACGAACGTGTTCTGATTCTTGAATTCTGACTTCACTTTAAGTCACGTGCTTTCCGTGCCTTTGAGTCAAATGAAGAATAAAGTCGCGAACCGTGGGCCGTAACGGACCACAACATACAAGGTATCGAGGTCCACACACATTATATTATATGATGTAGAAAGAGCCACAGCAACTTCTAATTGTTCTTCTTCGCATAAAATTCAAGTCATTCATACAAGTCCACCATCTTCCCCTTTGATACGATGGTCCCCCCCGCACCCGACCTCGAGAATGAAATCTCGAACTCAGTCGATAAGCTGCAGAAGCTGTACCCGGGCGAATTGGATGCAAAGAAACACCTATACTTGCCTCATGGCAAGTATGCATTCGCCGCTAAACACACATTCCATGGAAAGAATAAAAAGCAAATAGGTTGGTGCTCTTCACAACTCTCTTTCAGCCTGCAGCTCAAATTTAAATCAAGGCCATCTCTCAGGGCACGCATACCGTATAAACGTCCGAAGTGGCGTTATTGCTGGACATAATGTTACCTGTCTCTGGAAAACGCAAGTTATCTGTTTTGTCGAGGTTTATGACAAAAGCTAACTATTCACCAGTTGGGATGTTTCTAAATCATGGAGAGAGTTCTTTCAAGAGGTACTATACATTCTTCTCATAGGCTTGCGTTTCTCTGACAACGCTTCGAAGTTATACTTCTACTCTCATCCACAGCTTTTGAGATGGCTTCAAGGAATCGTCGTTCCACACGTAATTGGCGTACATGATGGATCTAATGGACAAAAAAGTATTTTCATGGAACCACCCCATCACATATCCTGGCATACGGCACATCTAGGATTGTCCATTGGCGAGAAACAGGCAGTTATTCGAGCTTATCAAACCTTGCATGCACACGGTATCCTGCACAATAACATCGGCGCCCATAACATATGCATAGGTAAGAGACTAGCTCAAGCTCATGCAAAAGATTTATAAATTCATCAACATCTAGATCAAGATATGAACGTTATTCTACTAAACTTTGAAAAAGCCTGCTGCTTGAAAGACAAGGGAATAGACGAAGTCCCCGGGTGTGATCAGGAGGCGTTGGTGCGAGAAATGCGACAAGTAAAATACTTGATTTCCTACATGGATGCGAGGCTTATTGAAAACGGCATCATTACAACCTCACAAGCTTATACCGGTGAACGACAGGCGAGCTACCCCTTCTTACGCATCGTAGGTTATCTTAATGACCCTCAAATCCAGACCCAGGCGCTCAATCTCGACGATTCTATTCGCTGGCTTAAACATGTTGAAAACACCCATACCATCCCGATCGAGATGCGTCATCGGCCAATTCCCAATGATGGACGTAGAAAACCAAAGAAAAAGGTCAAAGCTGGAGCAGTCAGTCAATGGGAATCAGGGGGGCTTGCGCAAGATACTGGTGATTCTGGATTCTATAGTGAACCGATTGTGCTTCCCATTCTTCCGCCGCCTGCCGAATCGTCATCCTCCGCAATCATGGCTACGCCTTCGCTACAATTAGACCCTCCTGCAGCTATACACGATCTCTTTTCCGTAAATCAGCTTCCACTACCAAATCCTGGTGCTGCACTGCCTTCTACTTGTCCCGAAGAGGACATTTATCGTACGCAGGACAGGGATATCGATGTGCAGCTTCCGCCGTTCCAATCTGATCTTGAAGGCTTTCAAACTGTATCAAGAGGCCTGCATGGTATCCCTGTCCACTCGTCATCAGTCTCTCCCTGTACCCCTACCCTATCACTGCTCCCAAGTACACCCAATTCGGACACCTCGGAGCGAATTTCACAAACACCTCTATCTTGCCCACCTTCGTCTACTCATCTTCAAAGTCGCACCTCCGTTCCGTATGTCGACCAACCACCTTCACCTAAGGTGTTCTGCGACCTCACACACGAGCAACTTCGCCTCGCAATAAAGCACCACAACGTCGATGTAGACGCTAGATTATCATCGCGCGCTGCAATAACCACAGACAAAAACAACGTCGTATTTCACCCCGACACCAATGACAATGGCACATACGCTACGGGAAGCGATCCCTTTCGCAAGCGGAAGAAAAGACTGGCGACCTACCCCCTTTTTCTTGGAAGGCTCTAGTTTCACGGAGGAAGAGACTACCCCTGATCCGGAAAATACTAGCTCGACTGAGGACGAGGAAGATGAAATGCCTGAGCCTGAGGTCGACGTCGATTTCGAAGAACTCGTCGAGTCAGCTCATCTCGCCAAACTCAGAGGGCGCCGACGTATGTCACGTTCTGCTGTGATACCCGACATGGTTCTCACCAAACCCGTGTGGCCTGATCCAGAGGCAAAACATCTCACCCAACGAAGTCCTACCACACCATCTTCACCAGCATTGTCCTCGATCAGCGAGGAAGAGAGTTCTGGCGATACTCCAGGAGTTCCCCCTTATACCTGTCGTTTTTGTCGGAGCTAACGGGAGTCCGGACGAGGTTTGGAAGCTCCCCGTACCTGCGTTCATGTTAATCAAGTCGTCTGTGGCGAGGCAGCCACAGGCTCAGAAACTCCGAGTAGAACAGGTCCCTCAGCTGCGAGGCCATTCTCTAACAAATTACTGCTCTCTGCGGACACTAAATCAGGACACACAAAGTCGATCTTCCAAGAAGCGGGATATCGACTGCGTGGAAGGGATTGAATGTTTGGAACGGACGTCGAAGCGTGCACGCCAGGACCAATCAACGCTTAGCTCATGCATCATATGTTAGATCATACTCAAGTCGGACCACTCAGCCCTTAATAATTATTCTTTCGATATTGGTAGTACTTTACAATCAAATGTACAATCACGGGTAGAAGATCAATTGTAATTCAAGTTTCATATCTTGTAGCTCTTCACTATCTCGTTCACCATCTCCATCACGTTCGTTAATTATAGTGAATAGTATTGAGCAAGCTGCCGCTCATGCTGCAGCACAATTCTCGCAATGGCGTGTCGAGGGTGGCAAGCACAAAGCATTGACTTTGTATACTAACTTTTTTTTTTTTTTTTGGGAACGATATTGTTAAGTGGCAGCTGACCAAGTCGGCCCCAGGTAACACGTTTGTTGTACGGGGATTTCACCCGCAAGACGGAGATTAGATAATATAGAAGTTGTTCACCCAGAGGAAATGCTTTAAGCACGCCGAAAGACAGTGTGGGACTCAACAGCTCGAAATGTTATTCATGCCGTCCTCGAGGAGGACGTCGAGTTGCCATACCCACTAAAACCCCTGCTTGTCGGATCCAATTGTCCGCAAGATTATCTTCGTCCAGTAGGACCCCGCTCCAGGTTCGGAGCACTAGCGATTCTTTTAATGCGTTTCTCCCATATTTGGAGGTGTTAGTTAGTAGTCTGTCGAATTTTAGTCTTCTGTTTATGGATGCTACCCATCGATTGTGTATTTCGGTTTCGGAGTGGTATTTTTCTTGGTCTCCGTTGAATTTGATCGTTCGTTCGCATCTAAGCTTCCAGATCAGGTGCGCTGATTCTAGAACAAGGATAGAGAATAGTCTATTTTTGCCCACTAGGCGTTTGTTGTATAACTAACTTCTCTTGTCATATATCGTGTCCCCCACACAAGGGCATGGACAACAGCTTGGTTTGCACTTCGGGCCAGATTAGCCATGCTTAGCATTGCCAACTCAAAAACTGCATACCACGACAGTGAAAAATGTGGTTTATCCATCGGCAATGGAGCCGAGGGCCATTAAGTAATGTTTGTGAATCTTGATAACATTCCATCGGTCATCTACCCTAGGTCATCCAACATCCTCTACATGTATATAGATGCACAGAAATGAGTGGAGGCAGCTTACGATACATAGGGGGGACACTGGGCTGGCTCATGGCTGGTGCGCGCCTTGTTCACTCTAACAATGCTTTGTTTTCCGAACATATAAACACTGGAGTGGCGATGTTTGCAATTCATAGTCATAGTTGCACACATGCTATCATGGCGTTGTTCAAAGACAAAAGAGTAACATGATAAAAAGATATGTACCAAAAAAGTGGTTTCACCGGTAACTGCAGATTTTTGTCAGTCGAGTGTTCACGAACTTCACGCAAGCGATGTACAAACCTCTTTTGCCTGCGAGCACGGGCACCAGCACCACCGAACTTCTTCGGCTCCATCCGTCTAGGATCTGCGATCAACAGCGTTCGGTCATACGCAACCAACTTTTTCTTCAACTCCATTGCGCTGTATGCATCGATGTACTTGGCGTAGTACGCGACAAGAGCCTTGGCAATGGCCTGACGGATGGCGTACACCTGCGATGTGTGTCCACCACCCTTGGCGCGCACACGGATATCAAGTGGTGCGAATGAGTCTTCACCAGCTACAAGGACGGGTTCGTAGATCTTGAAGCGGAGGATCTCAGGTTGTACAAGGTTGATGGGAGAGCCATTCACGCGGATGATACCACGACCCTCCTTAGCGTGTGCGACTGCAGTTGCAGTCTGATGAACTCTGAGGTGAGCAATAAGTCAGCGCGACGGTGTTGTTACTTGCCTTCTTTTTGCCGAATGTTTGGACGGCCTTTGCTGTGGATGCCATTTTGTCGTATAGAGGAATCTGCCGGGGTTCGGCTCCTTGATGAATTCTAGGGGCGGAAAGAGCGAGTTCAGCAACTGGTCTCGAGTGTCATATTTGAAGCCAAAGTAGGTGTAACCCAATTCATCTAACCCCAATCCATCGAATACTGGCCATTCCCCAATGATATTCGTGCATATTCCGGACCGTATAGACACAACCGCATCGTATGTCTGCAACACGTAGCATAAGAGCATAAACTCACCCTCTGAAGGTCGTTTGAGGTGTTACGGTCGATATTCACAGCGGGCTTGCAACAACAGGTGAGTGGTGGCAACAAATTCTCACGATCCAAATTTGGAATTGCAATTCGTCTTGTCCTGCGATTCTCTGGTCTGTAAACTATCAAGCTTGACGGTTCCCAATGTTTTCTGCTCTGCGGAAATCAGTGGCAGGGGTGAGGAAAAGTCCATATTTATTTCCATGCCCGTCCTGATAACACCAGCAGTCTTCGCAAGCAATATGTCGCAGGCGAATGGCCACAATTGCGCCGACCTTGGATCAATCAAAGCCGACTACTTCACAAAGCAAACTTGCAATTCGCAAAGGTGATTTTATTGATGCCAGAAAGACATACGCTCATTTGGAAATAGCTGCTGATTCAATCAAACCAGTATATGTGACAATGTCGAGTTTTACTGGGAAGTCGAACAGTGCCAAGAAAGCTGTTGCTCTGGACCCAACGGTGTTCGACCATCCTATTCGGCGAGATATTCTACATCTTTGCGTCGTGCATCACCTGGATTCTCTTCGCCAAGGAACTGCCTCTACTAAGACGCGCGCTGAGGTTGCCGGTTCACGTCGCAAAATTCGTCCGCAGAAGGGAACCGGTAGAGCTCGCCTGGGAGATCGGCAGAGTCCGATGTTGAGGGGTGGAGGTGTCGCTTTTGGTCCGAAACCGCGAGATTTTAGCACGAAACTTAATCGCAAAGTTATCCAGATGGGCATGCGCGTGGCTTTGACGATGAAGCTCCGGGAACAACGACTGGGTGTCTTGCAGCGGATTAACTGGTGGTCACACAAGACTGCTACCCTCAACTCAAGGTTGAGCGGACTCGGATGGAGAACCGGTACCTTGTTTGTCACCGGAGAATCCGAAGTGCCGGCAAGAATGAGATTGGCATCGAAGAACCTTCGTGGGATAGAGTGCAGAACCGTAGCGGACTTGGTGGTCTACGACATTGTGAAGTGGAGAAGGGTTATACTTGACCTCGCCGCCGTTGACGCACTGGAGCGAGCTCTCGGAAAGGGCTTGTTGGGAATTTCGGATTCGGAGAGGGTAGTTTCTGATGTTACGCACTCATGTGTGGAGGAGGTTGAGCCATCCGCTTAGACTCATAATATATCTTATTCTGGGCGTATCAAATGGATTGCAGTCGCGAGTCATTGTACTTACAAACACACCTGCAAAACAGACTGAAAATACAATACGCGACCACGTGACACGACGCGTGCTCATTAATATGACTGCGCCTCGACTGGGACTCCCACTCTTTCCCACTATATAGTACAGTTGTGTGTTTTTTTTCTAGCAGAAAGCGATCATGTCTCAGGCATCTCAAGATGAAGAAGCACAGGAGGGCGGCCTCTCCATGTCTGGTCCGCTCATGGTTGGCAAATTGGAGGAAGCCGGAATTCACGCCAATGACATCAAGAAGCTCTCCGATGCAGGACTCAACACTGTCGAGGCCGTCGCATTCACGCCCAAAAAGAATCTGATAGCAATTAAAGGTATCTCAGACGCGAAGGCAGACAAGATCTTGGCAGAAGGTGAGTGCTGAGATCCTGGCATCATGCGATCAGTGTCTGATGAGTCACATCATCCAGCTCAAAAAATCGTCCCCCTTGGCTTTCAGAGCGCCACTGAAGTTCACGCACGACGTTCTGAACTCGTTCACATTACGACAGGCTCAAAGCAGCTCGATGCTTTACTCGGAGGTGACATTTCAGCATTCAGAAAGTATGATTGTTTTCTCACTTCTTTACAGGGGGTATCGAGACCGGTGCCATCACTGAGCTCTTTGGAGAATTCAGGACCGGAAAATCACAACTGTGTCACACATTGGCAGTAACATGTCAATTGCCTGTGAGCATGGGCGGTGGCGAGGGCAAATGTCTCTACATCGACACTGAGGGCACTTTCCGTCCTGCTCGCCTACTTGCAGTCGCAGAACGTTATGGGCTGAGTGGAGAGGAAGTTCTTGACAATGTTGCATATGCAAGAGCATATAACGCTGACCATCAGAACTCCCTTCTCACTAACGCCAGTGCGCTAATGGCGGAATCAAGGTTCGAACTGGCTATATGCGTATTTTGATGGTGTTCCTCACGATCATACTAGATTCTGCCTTCTCATCGTCGATTCATGCACCGCGCTCTATCGCACTGACTTCAGTGGACGCGGTGAACTATCGGCGCGTCAGAACCATCTCGGCAAATTCTTAAGAACCCTCCAACGGCTTGCAGATGAGGTAAGAGGAGAAGTAGTCTCCATACACCGTCGTATTCATTCCGCAAAACAGTTCGGCATTGCAGTCGTTGTCACAAATCAGGTCATGTCCAATCCAGATGCATCAGCAGGACCATACGCAGGCAATGAGAAGAAACCCATCGGAGGAAACATCATGGCACATGCTTCCACGACCCGGTATGCATTCATGTTATCGTCAGTTGGTTCACTAAGCGAGCTGTCTTATTAGGTTGCAACTCAAGAAGGCCCGCGGAAACACTCGAACTTGCAAAATATATGATTCGCCCTGCCTTCCTGAGATGGAGACTCACTTTGCAATCTTGTCTAGTGGAATCGGTGATCCCGAAGAAGAGACTTGAGTATCAATACCCTCATGTAATTTGTATTCTTGTAGCATTCAGTTTTCTATCACTATCAGGGAAGCTCCGTAATTGATTCTAAAAAGACATTTTGTGTAGTGGTTTTCTTCCACCCTAGAAACACTTAAGATATGTCTCTATTCGAAAGAGAGGATACCAGTTGAGTGGGACCTGTAGACTATACTGTGGGTGTAACAGTCTGTTTCTGTCAATGATGCTTCGAATCTACAAATGTATACACTCCCACCATCAAGCCAACAAGCGAGTGAGGATATTCGCGCTCGTGTGCTTAATCATCTCCTGTAGCTTGTTCACGTCTTGGGGGCTGACGTCCGCAATATCTGCCAGCAAATATGCGACGTCACCTTTCGAATCAGAGTACTGCTTCTCGACGTTGTATGGCGAGAGGGCCTCGTTGACTTGTTTCAACACACCAGGCTGATTGCTGTGGACATGGCAAACACGGACATGATTGCCCTGCTCTGCGGTGATCGCGCGGAGGTCGACTTCGGGGAAATTAACTGCCCCGAGGGTGGAGCCGTAGGTCAGGTACCGAGAGAGAGCAAGAGACACTTCCTCCCCAATCATGCGCTGCGCTTCTTCTGTTGATCCGCCGATGTGAGGCGTGAGTATCACGTTTGGCAAGCTGCGCAGAGCGCTCGACCATGAGTTAACCTGATCGTCGAATGGTGCCCCATTAGACCCTGGCTCCTGTGGGTATACATCTATGGCTGCACCAGCGAGATGTTTTGACCGGAGGGCTTCGATTAAGGCTGGGATGTCGACGACACGTCCGCGAGCGTTATTAATAAGGTAGGACCCCATTTTCATCTGCGCAAGCTCCTGCGATCCAATCATATTGATTGTCTCAGGAAGCTCCGGCACGTGAAGCGTGACAAAATCAGCTTCCGCTAATAGCGTAGGAAGAGTGTTGACTTGTCGAGCCGAACCAAGAGGCATGATGTTTATGACATCGTAAAAGATGACACGCATGCCAAGGGCTTCTGCAAGCACTGACAGCTGTGACCCGATGTGTCCGTAGCCAACAATACCCAACGTTTTGCCTCGAACCTCCCAACAGCCTTTCGATTGCTTGTTCCAGATTCCCTGGCGCATTTCATGCGAACGCTCGACGAGCTGCCGCGAAAGCGCGATCATTTCGGAGACGACAAGCTCTGCAACAGAGCGCGAGTTTGAGAATGGAGAGTTGAAGACGGGAATTCCGGCCTTGCCGGCAGTAACCAGATCGACCTGATTTGTTCCAATACAAAAACAGCCGATCACAAGAAGCTAGGGAAGGAGGACTTAGAGGTGGTCATCGAGATCGGGGATAGATGGACATACTTTGTGTGCAGCTTTGATGACCCGTTCTGTGATCTTTGTCTTGCTGCGTATGCCTATAGCATGGTACTGAGAAATTTTGTCTATAAGCTCATCCTCAGAAAAAGCTTTTGTGTAGTGGTCGACATGAAAGCCCTGCGCTTGAAAAGCTCGGACTGCATCCTGACTGATGTTCTCTAGGATCAAGAGCTTCAGGTCTTCGTTGTCGACTGGATGAAGAACCTTGGGCTTTCTGATGGCTGGGCACGACTCCCGCTTGCGCAGCCTGTCATGGAGTGTCTGCGACGATGAAGGAGAGACGGAAGCAGCTACGGCTCTTGGGGATTTTGAGGGGATGGCAAGTGGGGGGGTCATTAGGAGGGATTGGAAGTAAGGATGATCCATGTCAGTCTGAATATACCTCCTTATATATGAGACGTTCTTGATGAGTGAGTCCTATATTTACAACATCGGGCGCTATTCTCAAACTTGATTGCAAAATTTGATCATCCCGATATGGTAACTCACGAGTGAGTCAAGCTCAGGCTTAAGCTTAAACCATGGCACTCTTTCTCCTCGACCATGGTGCAGGTAACGTCCAGAGTCTCGCTAATTCAATCAAGAAACTTGGTTATGATTTCTCGTGGATATCTAGTCCAGAGGACTTCCACAAAGCATCTGTATGTCATTACCTCACTATGCCCATCTGACATTGATTCATCTCCACCCAGATCCTCGTATTTCCAGGCCAAGGTGCTTTCCACACTGCAATCGAGTGTTTGACAGAGCGTGGTCTACTTGAACCCCTCTATAACTACATTCAATCTGGGAAACCGTACTTCGGTATATGCATTGGGATGCAAATCCTCTTTGCGTCATCTGCAGAATCCCCATCAACGCTTGGTCTAGGTCTTATACCCTGTCAAATGGAACGATTCGATGATACCACTAAACCAGTTCCTCATATGGGCTGGAACACCGCAGTACCCATAGACTCCAACACTTTGTCCTCAGAAGGTGTTTCTTCTTCAGATCACTACTATTTCGTCCACTCGTATCGTGCCAAATATGACCCAGAAGGCAATCCTGAGGCTGCTATATGGGCGCACTCAACTACCCAATACGGGCAGGAAGTGTTCATGTCCACCGTCCGAAAAGGCAATGTATTTGGTGCTCAATTCCATCCCGAAAAATCCAGTGTTGCTG